TACATCGAGAAAATAAAAATTGTGACTGTAGATCAGAAGAAGCGATTGATAGAGCAGATAGAAACATCTTATGTATTATTCTGACACATTACGGGATGCAGTGAAATTAGTAGATGTCATCATAGCCATGAACAACACTAGCAAAAGAGCAGCAAAAACACAAGAAAGAATATCACACATGTTCACAGTCAATACAGGATTGAGAGACGGATGTAAAGACTCCTCTGTCTTTTTTTTTTTTTTATCAATACTGACAAAAACAGAATATCTAAAGAAGCAAACTTTAAAGCACTCAACCCGGAAACGCCAGAAATTTAGGATTGTTACATTTCTTATAGAGAAATGAAGAGAATGAACATCAACATATTAGGAATTATTGAAAAGCGATGACCAGCAGCAGGGGAAAAGTATTACGATCAGCACATAATTATTTACTCGGGTGGGAAGGAACATAGGAAGGGAGTTGGTATTATTTTGGATCTAAAGAACTCAAAAACTGTGAAAAGATTTTGGACAATATTAGATAGAGTACTATAAGTAAAACTTCGCGGCAGACCGTTTGACATTGACTTAGTACAGATTTATGCCCCAACAGCAGATAGTTCAGAGAAAGATATCGACGCATTTTATGACGAGTTAGACATGGCTGTTAATCAATGCAAAAATAGTCAAGTAACAATGGTACTTTGAGATTTCGACGCGAAAATAGGAAGTGAAAAAGTGTACGGAATAACCGGTGGCTATGGCCTAGGAAAAAATAATTTGAGAGGTGACAGATTAATTGCATGGGCTGAGTCGCACAGCATGATAATAGGTAACACCTGGTTTAAACACCATTCTCGAAGATTGTGGACTTGGAAAAGTCCTGGTGATAATGTCCGCAATCAGATTCATTATATTTTGATTTTAAGAAGATTCCGGAGCAGCTTAGTTGGAGCAAAAACTAGACCAGGAGCAGACTGATTTAGTGACCATGTTCCAGTTGTAGGAAAAATTAGAATAAAACTAAAGAACATTAGAAAAACACCACAGAGCATCAAGTTAAATTTAGGAATTCTTAGAGCGGATAACGAAATTAAGGAACAGTACAACGTCACTATACAATACCGGTATAATGCAATGTAAATTATACAGACTATTGATGAACAGTGGGATAGATTGCGTGAGTCAATTCAGCAGACATCAAAAGAGACAATCACACCAATCCATAGAGTTGCAAAAAAAAAAAAGGAATGGATGTCAACCGATATTCTGAAGTTGATGGATGAAAGAAGAAAGAAAAAGAATGATAAAGAGGAATACTATAGAATATAAAAAGAAATAGTGTTGAGGGTGCAAAGTGGCTAAAGAAGCCTGGCTGGATCAAATGTGTACAGAGATTGGGGAAAATCACAGGAAAGACTCATTCCATGTACCAACAGAAAAAAATGTTGGCAGGAATGATGACACGTAACAGCACTGGATGTTTAAAATCAAAAGATGTTGACTTTTGTTAATGGGACATAGTAATATAATTAGCAGATGGACAGAGTATATAGGAGAACTGTATGATGATAATAGACCAGATGTAGAGCTGCAGACCAACAATAATGGTCCACCAATAATGACTGCAGACGTTGCGGGTGCAAAACATCATATAAAGAAAGGAAAAGCACCGGGGTCAGACAACAACAACATCTCACTGGAAGAAATCAAAGCACTGGGAAATAATAACTAAACTTTTAAATGATATTTATAATAGTGGGTGTATTCCAAATGACCTTTTAAAATCCATATTTATAGCTCTGCCAAAGAAACCAGGCACTTTAAAATGTGAAGACCATCGCACAATAAGTCTTATGAGTCACATGACTAAGATTTTACTGAGAATAATTATGAGAAGAATAAGAAACAAAATTAAACCAGAAATCAGCGATAAACAATGTGGATTTGTAGAAGGAAAAGGTACAAACAATGCCATATACAACCTAAGGACATTGTCAGAAAGAACTATAGAAGTAAAGACTTATTTTACTTATGCTTCATAGACTATACAAAAGCATTTGACTATGTGAAGCATGAAGAAGTAATCAAACTGTTAGAAAATTTAAACATTTATGGAAAAGATCTACGAATAATAAAGAATATGTATTGGCAGCAAACAGCAGCTATAATAATTAACAACTGTTTAGGTATATTTCAAAGCATAAAGAGGGGCGTACGACAAGGATGTGTACTATCACCTGATTTGTTTTCAACATTCAGTTTCAACATATAATGAGATCTTTAATTGATATGCCCGGAATTGTGGTTGATGGGCACAATATAAACAATCTGCATTATGCAACAAGTCAGAAAGAACTACAGGAAATGATAGACATTGTGGTGTTAGAAAGTGGAAGAATGGGCCTCAGTTTGAACAATGGGGAAACGGAAGTAATGGTGGTATCAAAGAAACGAATTATTCCTAAATGTGTAATAAAAGTCGAAGGTTTTTTTTTTAAGGACAAGTACAGAAAATTAAGTATCTGGGCACATGGATAACATCAAATGGAAGATGCATAACTGAGAAAAGAAACAGAATAGGACAGGCAAAAACTGAATTTTATCAAATGAAGAATATCTTGTGCAATATGTCCTTGTCATTGAGAGTTAGAAAAAGAATTCTTGCTTGCGGAATACATCCAGTTTTAACATATGGCTGTGAATCCTGGACAATCGGTAGGCAGGCCAAACAATTTCTTGAGGCCTCAGAGAAGTGGTTTTACAGAAAAATGCTTGGACAGCCAAAAAGAGCAACCAAGGGGTTTTAAAAGAGGCGGGAGCCCGAAGACAACTTATCACAGATATCAGAAGAAGACAGTCATCATTTTTCGGCCATGTTATGAGAAGAGGGAAAATAGAACATGTTGTGACCACTGGAAAGATCTGTGGAAGGGGGGATAGAGGAAGACAACGAGAGAAAATGCTTGACGGTCTTGTTGCATGGCATGGAGGTGTGTCGGCACAGGAACGGATACATGCTGCAGGTGATCGTAGATTATTGAGAGGCATGATCGCCCACGCCAGTCGGCAAGGCACCTGATGATGAGGATGATGATGATGATGATGATGATGATGATGAAGAAATAGGTCCACACACAATGAACGAGCAACTGTTTTCAGACAATTAGTGCCTGTTCTATATTTATAACATTCAAATAAATACAACTAAAACTGAAGTAATGAGGGTCAGTATAGTTCCTGGACAGCTACATTTAGAGTTCCGTGGTACTTGTTTGAAACAAGTTAACTAGTTTAAATATTCTTGGAGAACACCAGAATAAATAAGAAATTAGAAAGAAAATGTATAAGAGGTCATGCATTTATACACCAGCTGGTATTAGGACATATTAAGCGGTATTAAAAGACATCCAACATAATTATGACCGCAAAAAAAAAAAAAAAAAAAAAGATTGAAACAGCATTGTGGCTTATTCTAGAATGTCATTGTCTTGACTAAATGTCAACAAAGCATTTAATAATTGATTCATGCGTACACTTGCACCTCTTTTCAGTGTCACATTGATGGACCATATGGAACTGCAAGTCGACATATCTTCAACTCTGAACACGCTGTTTTGGTGGGTTCAGGGAATCGGTATTACTCCTTTTGCCTCTATACTTCAGTCAATCGTGAATCAGTTCAAGGCAGGCTGTGTCACGTGTGCTAAGTGTCAATATACGTGGTGTCACATGTTGCCAGCTACAGTGATGAATCTCAGAAAAGTAAGTCTGATTGCCATTTCACTAGCATTATATTATCCCCAACTTTCTTGCATGCGTATCAATGGGGGAAAAAAAACCATTGTAAAGCATATTGAAAAATAAAATAAGTTTTTATTTATAACGCATCACATAATTAATGCCGTAATAAATAAATATAGAAATAAAAGACAAAAAAAAAAATAATTATAATTTAGTTTATTGATAGTTTTTTCATTGTAATAGTTTTGTCAATGTAATAAACTTCTTTGCTATTCCAGTCCTTCATAGCATTCCATAAACTGTTTATATGTAGACTATCATACACTTTTTTAAAATTCACAAAAACATTATGTACATATCTTCTATATTCCCAATGTTGCTTTGCTATTTGCCGTAAAATGAATATCTGATCTATTGTTGATCTGTTCTGTCGGAAACTCGTTAGGTAATCTCCTGGTATGTCTTCGACGTATGGATTTAGCTTGTTTAGCAGTACCACCGATAGTATCTTATACCTTGTAGATTATTACTTTCGTTAATTAGGTTCCCTACGCTTTTATTATTCGTGATATAAAATTGTAAGAGACTTTTGCAGACAGAATTATCTAGTATCCTAAAAACAAAAACAAAAACAAAAATAAATGAGGTATCAACAAGACCTTATAATAATAATATTAATACTATTATTTGTCGCGTTTAGTGCATTAATTATATGATGAGTTTGAAAAAAAAAAACTATTTTATTAACATACTTTTATTTTTCTGGTTTTAATTTCCAACTTTTCAGTTATCTGTACAATTAATCGTGACAATTATTTCTGTCTTATCTTCAGAACACGATCATAAATAGAATATTACCGATCAGATTATCACAGGATGGCGACTCGTCAAGTCTCAGTTAATTTGTTGAAAAATGTATGTCAGACATGAATAAGAACTCAAGCGCCAACACAAATAATAAAAAGTACTTCATACGAAGTGCACAGAAGGGCCCGTTCCAGAGATCTATTCTTGCCCTGACGCCGCGATGCATTCCAGGAGTAGCTAAAAGAAGACGAGAAAAAGTACAGAAGTAATGAGGTAAAATTTTGACCAGAAAAGCACCATTAGTGACCCACAAAAAGTTGGTCTGTCGTTGCACGTGTGTACAGTCTAATGGCAGTTGTAAATCCAAGGCGTGGGATGGACTGATCCTAAAAAGCTAGACAGACATACATCACTGAAAAGTACAATTTTCGAGGACAGGTGACTGTATTAATAATCGAGCGTTAGTAATGAGGTCATATGCTGAGGTAATGAGAAATGAGTGCATTGAAAACGATCTGACAACCGGATCGGATAAACAAACATCAGCAGGAGTAGAATAAGAATTCGTTAAATGTATCTTCGTCTTCTTCGCTTTCACCGGCTGTAAACCCCGGCGGAAAGTTATGGTTGTTTGTCCACTGCTGGACTCTAGTTATGTTCTAGGACCTGAGTGTTGCGTGCACATCTCTTTTACAGATCTTACTTATTTATATGCAAAACATTGGTTCCTTTCCCTTCAGGCATATGCAGTCCGACTTTGAAGGAAGCTCAGAATTAGTCGGTTTTTACGATCATGCTTTTGGGTAGGCAGTGGGTCTATTCTTGTTCTCCCCACAATGGGGCCCCGGAACCCACATGAAGAGTTGAACTGAATGGAACACTGACAGGGAAGACTGTTCAAGGTTGAAATTTACCCAGAATACAATTACCATGTGGGTGCGTGGGGCTGGGCTGGAAAGGGGGGGGGGAGCCGTCTTGACTCATGAGCACGCCAGGCAGTTGACCTAAGTCTTCTCAAGCGTAGAGGACCCAGTTAAATTTTATATTTTCTATTTGTATTCTTTTTACTAGTTAGTTCACCGGGGGCATGTGCAGCGCTATGTCTGGGTACCAGTAATGATGTTGATGCTAAAAAAAAAGCACTGCTGTACAGCACAGAACATGATTATGTTTAAAATTTAGAAAGTAAACGTTTCACAGACTGGCTCTCGAAACAAATTGTCACCATATTGTTATGACACAGGGCTTGTAAGGTATACCACGTCCGACTTTAGTTAATAAAAGTCCATACAGCTCAACGGGGATTTCCGTTCTTGTACAAGTCGAGAGACCGCTCTGTGTTCACAGTTTTTATCGAGGAGATGTATACACAGTGTACAGTTTCATTAATTTGCAACATATTTTATCAAATTATATGTCATTTTAAAGGTAAATAACTGTGCTATTAAAATATATCAATAAAGGCTATTACTGACAAACAAAAATGCTTTTACTACAGTCAACATGAACATTAACATTAGTAACGTGTATAAATAAACTGGAAGTTATTCCAGCAAGAGTAAAAAAAATATTAGTGCTAACTCTTAGATTCTGAGGGGCTATTGCATTAGAGGAACGGGAGGGGGAGGGGTGACATTTATACTTTATCAAATTCAGCACACGAAAATGCTGCTGTGAAACATAGACATATCATACATAACATGAATATAAATGAATATAACAGAAAACACGCACTATGTGCCATGTTAACTTCCTTCACAACTGTTTACTGTATAAGATCACCCCCCCCCCCCCCCCTCCGACCCCCCCCCCCCCCTTCCGCGGTTTTATGCCCTGATTCAGCACCTCTGAAAGCCCTAACATCGTAAAGGGATGATCTAAATTTTTTGTTAATACATAGGTGGTCAATTTTGTTAGTTGTCTTATAGTCTGGTGATTCCCATGTTTCCTTGTGTATTCTTTTATGGGGAAAAATACTTCCACCAATAACATACTGGTTTCCTGCACAAAAATGTGTGAACAATTCTCCATTTTCATGCATGTCTTCCCAAAATTTCTTCATAACCTGTGTTGTCGGATCCTATCTTAGCATTCAAGTCACCCATCAAAATTTTTCAGTTGCTCTTTCTTTCATTATTTATAATATTTTGAAGCTGCATGTAAAATTCTTCCTTAACAAATGTATCTTTATCATCTGTTGGTGCATAACACTGTATTACCGACATGTTAACCTTCTGTTTCACTGTTCTTAAAGATGCTCTTATTATTCTGGGACTCACAGCTTCCCATTCTATTAGTGCCCTGTCTGCTTCTTTTGATAGCATCAGAGCCACTCCTTCACTGTGGGGCGAATTTTCCTCTGTGTGTCCTGAGAACAAAATAGTTTCCCCTGAATTTAGAATACTTTTCCCTGCCCCAGTCTATCTAGTTTCACATAACCCTAAAATACTAATTCTATAATGTTTCATTTCCTTTGCTACTTCCATTGTTCTCCTTATATCATAGAGAGTTCTAACATTCCAGGTGCCAATTCTGGAGGTTTTCCTAGCTGAGAGGAGGTACATCAACGATCCGGACTCCTTACGGCTTTCTCCAAACCGTGTTATACTTCTTTTATTTGAAGAGCGTCCCCTCATCTTGGTTGGCTGGATTTTACTTGCTTCTCTTTTTGACTTATCCATGGTTGGTTGGTTTTTGTGGCTATGGTTTTTACAGGATGAGGTAGCCAACCTCAAACTCAACCCTACCCTAAGTCGCCTCTTACGACATGCCTTTTAGGGTGCAGTGTCACTATTCTTTGCTTCCCGTGAGGGCCCCGGTGATACACGGGCGATGTTTGCTCTATATTTTTCTTATTTATCTAATTTCTCCCAATACATTTCAGCAGGTAAACGGAGTCAAACAGCAAGGAGATGTTTTTTTTCCCTTGAATGCCTGGATGTTGTATCCATGTACCGTTGGACTTAAGGAAACTATTGTAAACTTTGCGGTTAACAAAGTAGTTGTCTACAATCACTGCCAAAAAAGTAAAGCCACACTCTTGAACAATATGAAGCAATTTCGTATCGTGGTTGCTGAAACTGTGTTGAGTTTTCATGCATACTTCTAAAAAATCACTGAAACTGTTCGGAGATGTTGGAGGATCAGTCTCGTTGTAATATATCTATAGATTTTCTTGTTGTGACTATCTTTCCAATTTACTTCTAGTAATAATCTAGTCAAGATCTTTACAAGCCAAACGGTTTTTTTTTTTTTTTTTTTTAAGAAAAACTTCTACACACATGTCTGGTAAATAACAGATATTAATGGTGCAAAGTCTGCTTTCACTGATTGTGCACTAATGATAAGTAGGCTGGCAGATCAGGAAACACAAACAGACACACGTTTGATTTTAAAATAGAATACATTCTGGGTAACTCATGTTCAACATCAGATTTATTTAATATTTATCAGATACGGTCCTATCACAGGGACGAAAATGATGACGACGACATGCCACGCTGTGTATTTAGTCGACTATTCTTTACGTGGTATGCACTTTTTCCATTGACCCCTCAAACCAGAATCACTTGGCAATTTAAATAGTCACATATTCACAAAAAATAATACAGCATTTCCTAGGCATTTTGACAACCAAACTCCACAAAACAATTGAATATAGTTCATGAAGCAGTAGTCACAACTCAGCAACTAAACATGAATGTAAACACGCCGGTCGACGAGAACGTCGGCTCCCTTGATATAATGTGACGAAAATGGTCGGTAGGCCCATTTGGATAAGCGGTGGGTATACTTAGTCAAGCCAGATCCTCAGCACTCTTCTGTGTGGTAGTTCTAATCCTTCTGCGTTTACCCTTACAAGTTGGTTAGCACCTTGTGTTGTGGTTTACAGCAAGGCAAAGATTTTTGCGTCTTAGGGCCCAACACGTTCGATTTCAACAAGCACATTTTCGTCTTCGTTTACAACATGCTTGATAGGGGGCACTACATGCCTGCCATTTTAATAATTCGATGTAATGTAGATTTGTAGGTAAGATTAATCACGTCCGGCTGTCGATATTCTCCAGATATGGCTTCTAAATTACCTGTTTGTATTATCCCTAAAAGTAAGATTTCTACATTTAAAGTAGAAAAGTAATAAACAGCCAGTTCCCAAAAATCCGAACTACTGACTAGAAACAGTGACACTGACAACACGATTGTCTTCCGTGATTTAAAATTAAAATTAAAATTGCTGTATATCCACTTCACAATATCCATTTGTAGATTTGTAATACGAATACGTTTAGAACACAGGACTTTTTAAGCATATTAATATGTCACACAATGCAACATGGAAACGCTCCCATTAACCTATTTTCGAGGGGGACTCCTCCAAAATGTACTGTGATTCAGTTGTCAGGACTGAATATATGCAGCCGGACGTGAATCAACCTACTTGTTCCAAAAGAAACTGCTATAAAGCTTCACGTGTGATGACCACTAAGAATACTTGGCATTGGGTAGCAAGACAAGATTACAAACTCTGGGCTATTGGAAAGAGCAGTTATCACAACAGCTTTCTCGATGAATTTGAAGGCTCAGATGGCAGGGTACACTCGGAGGAAGGTAAAGTCACAAAAGACAGCCCTTGTGGTAAATTACACATTGGTAGAAGATGGTGTTGGTCCTTTGGGATTTTAAGGTGTGTGCAAGCAAGATATGAATGGTACAGGTTTATTTGTGGATTCATATGAACAGGAAGCCTTGTATCACGTTGTATGGAAAAGGGGGGAGGGGGCAAGAATACATGAGACAACAGCAATAATCCCGAAATCGTACACAAATATTGTGGGATAATTGTCTTAACGTGAGATGGTCTCTGCTAGTCACACTCGCCATCGTCATGATCAGTTATTTCCTTGCCTTCCTATAGCACACTGTGACACTGTTGTCTGGAAAGATGCCAACAGTGGAGGTGCATCTATATCAAATATAGCTGAGAGGACACGCGACAGAAGGCTGTGACCAGACACAACGACCAATGTCACTCAGCATAGACATTTAGAAGGGGGAAAACATTTGTCCAGTCTGATATAATGATTTCTTGTGTCTGGGTTTACCTTTAGGTTGATTTCATCTGGATCAATCGTGACCAGCTTCATTTTGAGTGGTTTGTGTCTCTTTTAACAAGGCTTGAACGAGAGCAGGAAATTGATGGGGGTTTAGGTGAGTCCCTGAATATGAACTAATTTGTTGTATAGTTTGCTATATCCTCCTCCTGTTCCGATCTGAGAAAATTTTTCCTTCAGAGGAACCTACTCGACACATAAGATCGGTGATGACTGAAATCATTAAAATATGAATATTCTTCTTCTTCTTCTTCGCGTTCACCAGCTGTAAACTCTGGCGGAAGGTTCTGGTTGCTCGTCCACTACTGAACTGCAGTCCTGCTCCAGAACCTGAGTGTTGCGTTTGCATCAGTTTTACAGATCTCATTCTCTTGAATACAGACTTGTTCTTCTTCGATCCCTGTCAGCCTCTCCGGCAGATGCACTCCGACTTGCAAAGGAAGCTCCCCAATTAGTCGACTCTTACGACATGCTTTTGGGGAACAGGCAGTGCGGTCTATTCTTGTTTGACCCACAATGGGGCTCCGGAACCCACCTGACGGGGGTATGAATATTGAAAATAGAATAACAAGACCTTTTTTTTTTTTTGGGGGGGGGAGGGTGGGTTCGGGGTGGGGGGGATTATGCATAATTGCTTATGACAGTAAGAAGCACTTAGTGGCGTCAGTTGCAATGACGACGACGATTGAACATATATTAGTTTCAAAGAGCGTTCCCGTTTTTTTTAAAATTTGGGCAGAACCACAATTGGATCTGACAAATACAATCTTAGAGCAAACAGAAGTACTCAAGACCTTATCTTTAGACTCTGACAGAAAAGACCCTTGATTATTAGAGTGAGACGCATTTATATATATATAGCTGGGAGACTTTTCTAGGTCATAAACCGAGCTTTCTCGGCAAAAGAAAAATTGATAAGAGGACGAAAATGGCTGTTTACTGCGCTGCCTATTTACCGGATGTGAGTCATGTGCAATGACAACAGCTCGCAGAAATGAGATATCTGAGAATGATGTTCGAAGTAACAAGAAAGGATAAAGTTCACAACCATCAGGATCTTGAAACCCAGGCCTTGAGTGGATCAGTCACAGTTTGGACATGTATGTATAATGGGAGAGAATCAGTCACAGTTACGATGGTTTGGACATGTATGTAGAATGGGAGAGAATCAGTCACAGTTACGATGGTTTGGACATGTATGTAGAATGGGAGAGAATCAGTCATAGTTACGATGGTTTAGACATGTATGTATAATGGGAGAGAATCAGTCACAGTTACGATGGTTTGGACATGTATGTAGAATGGGAGAGAATCAGTCACAGTTACGATGGTTTAGACATGTATGTATAATGGGAGAGAATCATTCACAGTTACGATGGTTTGGACATGTATGTAGAATGGGAGAGAATCGACTACCATGGCAGGCATGGAAGGCCAGGAACCAGACCATCAGGACCACCAAGGGTTCAGAGGAAAGACATCCGGAGTCCCTGACTAACAGAAGACTCGAATGGAACAAAGCCACACACACAAAAAAACTGTTGACAGAGAAGTCTGGCGATCTCTCTGGCAAACCTCTACATCCCAAGGTAGCAGAGAATTTACGAAGTAAATATTTAAGAGTTTAATGTTTATCAACTGATATGTGGTTGTGTATGTGTGTGTGTGCGCGCGCGCGCGTGAGTGTCATGATGAACACATATTTTGCCAATACATAAACAAACACCCCTGATTTCACTAGCATGTTTTACACTGTATTATCTTTTATGTTTGCCACACTTGCTCCTGTGCAGGTCACATCTTAGATATGCATATGTATATGACGTCAGCACTGCCAAAAACAGATATGAAAGGTTTGATACTCCAGCTGGCTCTTGATATCATTCATGAAACTGAAAGAACAGATCTGATCACCGGACTTCAGACGCGGACACAGACTGGGCGACCTGACTTTGATGTGGTAAGACTCTTCGGTAAATGTTGCGAACATCTCCCGAAACAGTTAGCCCCGCTCATTTACGCAACAGGTCACTTTTCAATGATACTTTGTTCGGCTGGTCAACTTTGCTGAAGGTTACGGGTGTGTCCCGATCTACTGTTTGGTTTCTGCGTTGTCTTCCATTTACGTTTTCATTCCGAGAAAGAGATGCCTGTGATATAGGTTGCAGTACTCTCGTAGGGGCGCTCTGTTAGGGTCAGTGCTTCAGATTACGACCGGTACCATTAGTATTGGAACTCTGCGCTGGCTGCTGAAGATGAGGATGGAGCACACTTAGGATTGCCCCGAGTGCTGTGATGTCAATTCTTGACTCAACTGAACTAAACCCTGTATCTAGTGTTTTGTTTTAGCTTTCCCATCTGTGAATTGTATCTTATGCTGCAGGTTTTCGCAGTCGACAGCTGTGTCATTTGTTTTACTTCTAAATCAATCACATATATAGTTCACTTCCGCCTGTGCTTTTGTCAAATTGTGATCCAATTAATCTACCAGTCCCTCATTTATGTGGCTCATCTATATAATTACAGTCGCATTTTTAAGGCATCATAATTAGGACTACTGTAAAAGACCCTTTGTGGTGAGTACCAGCATCTTTTTCAATCGCTTGCGTCTAGTTCACTTTGAAATCTCTCAGTGTATCAGATCTACGACTGGAAGCAAATTGTGACTAAGTTGGGGTATTATCTGCAGATTACGAATGCCCTCGAATAACATTCGTAGAAACAGATCAACAACATAAGAAATTAAATTGTTGCAAATCAGCTTTCTTGTCAGAATGTAATCTGTATTTAGACTGACAAGTGTCATTTTCTAAATGCTTTAAATGTGATGCTTACATTATATACAGGAGTGTTATGTATATAGATTTACGTGTGTGTATGTGTGCGTATATGTATGAATATAAAACAAATACTTTGGGATCAACACCCTGCGATCTCCAACAGCCTGTATGAGTTGGTGTGACAACAGGCTGTATGAGCTGGTGTGACAACAGCCTGTATGAGTTGGTGTGACAACAGGCTCTATGAGTTGGTGTGACAACAGGCTTTATGAGTTGGTATGACAACAGCCTGTATGAGTTGGTATGACAACAGCCTGTATGAGTTGGTATGACAACAGCCTGTATGAGTTGGTGTGACAACAGGCTGTATGAGTTGGTGTAAAAACAGGCTGTATGAGCCAGTGTGACAACAGCCTGTATGAGTTGGTGTGACAACAGCCTTATGAGTTCGTGTGACAACAGCCTGTGTGAGTTGGTGTGACAACAGCCTGTATGAGTTGGTGTGACAACAGCCTTTATGAGTTGGTATGACAACTTGCTTTATGAGTTGGTGTGACAACAGCCTGTGTGAGTCGGTGTGACAACAGCCTTTATGGGTTGGTATGACAACAGGCTGTATGAGTTATTGTGACAACAGCCTGTATGAGTTGGTGTGACAACAGCCTTTTAAGTTCGTGTGACAACAGCCTGTATGAGTTGGTGTGACAACAGCCTTTATGAGTTGGTATGATAACAGGCTTTATGAGTTGGTGTGACAACAGCCTGTGTGAGTTGGTATTACAACAGGCTTTATGAGTTGGTGTGACAACAGGCTTTATGAGTTGGTGTGACAACAGGTTGTATGAGTTGGTGGGACAACAGCCTGTATGAGTTGGTGTGACAACAGCCTGTGTGAGTTGGTGTGACAACAGCCTTTATGAGTTGGTGTGACAACAGGCTGTATGAGTTGGTGTGACAACAGGCTGTATGAGTTATTGTGACAACAGCCTGTATGAGTTGGTGTGACAACAGCCTTATAAGTTCGTGTGACAACAGCCTGTATGAGTTGGTGTGACAACAGGCTGTATGAGTTGGTGTGGCAACAGGCTGTATGAGTTATTGTGACAACAGCCTGCATAAGTTGGTGTGACAACAGCCTTTATGAGTTGGTGTGACAACTGGCTGTATGAGTTGGTGTGACAACAGCCTTATGAGTTCGTGTGACAACTGCCTGTATGAGTTGGTGTGACAACTGGCTGTATGAGTTTGTGTGACAACTGGCTGTATGAGTTATTGTGACAACAGCCTGTATGAGTTAGTGTGACAACAGCCTGTATGAGTTGGTGTGGCAACAGGCTCTATGAGTTGTTATGACAACAGCCTTATGAGTTGGTGTGACAACAGCCTTATGAGTTGGTGTGACAACAGCCTTATGAGTTCGTGTGACAACAGCCTTTATAAGTTGGTGTGACAACAGCCTGTATGGGTTAGTGTGGCAACAGGCAGTATGAGTTATTGTGACAACCGCCTGTATGAGTTGGTGTGACAACAGCCTTATGAGTTGGTGTGACAACAGCCTTTATGAGTTATTGTGACAACAGCCTGTATGAGTTATTGTGATAACAGCCTGTATGAGTTATTGTGACAACAGGCTGTATGAGTTATTGTGACAACAGCCTGTATGAGTTATTGTGACAACAGCCTGTATGAGTTGGCGTGACAACAGATGTCAGAAGTCTTCTTTCTTTGACTTCCTCTATTTCTATTCCCCATTATCAGATTTTTGGGGTTTTCTCTTCTTATAAAGTGCGTTTTTTCCAAAATTTTATTTTTTAAATAAAAATAAATTGCTCTATGATCTTAGCCTCTGTCAAAACATTTGAACTTATCATTATGGTTATCCAAATAGTTGTCTGGCTTGTTTACTTATTGTACAGGAATGACAAAGTCAAAATTATTTCTCTTATTTGTAATTCTTTTCGTAACCTTCAACGACAGGGATTTGTTGCATAAGATATTCGTATTTTTAAAAAATGCTGCTTTTATCTTTAATAATGTGGCATGTCACTACACGAATACACCCACACATCTAAATTAGATCTTGTCTTTTTTTTTTATTTCCCCAGCTGTTCCAGAGAATCCAGGCAAACGCTAAAGGTCGTGTGACAGTGTTTTTCTGTGGCTCTCCTGTCCTGGGTAAAACAGTCAAGCATTATACCCATAAATATGGATTCACTTTCCGGCACGAGACATTTTAGACAGCAACAACACATTTTACCAATAATGGGACATCAAACATATAATGCTGAGTCAGTCAAACCAAACAGAACCACAAATAAAACTGTGGAACTTTGACGCAGATTATAATTTTAACTTTGGAATGATGATGCTATAAACATTAAATATACATATGTAAACTGGATTACCATAGCAAAGAATACAGAACACCAGAAATATGTAAATAAATAATTCAATATACAGCAGCTTATTTAAAATGTTTCAAATATACCCTCTCATTGTTTTAGCACCTATGTCTGCGACAAAGGAGATAGTTTTTCTTGGAAAATCTCAACAAATATCTGACTTCTCTGAGAATGACAATGATTAAACACGATAAACTAAAGGCCATCTATATTTCCCCCCTGGAGTACGAGAGCCTTAACAGTCAGTGAATAAAGTTAATTTTATGTTCATTTTAAAATAATGAGTTAAACGTTTTTTTTTTTTTATATAGTTAGTTAGCTATAGTTCGTTCAACAATAGACACACCCACATGCAAGCCATTTTTCAAAAACTGCCTGTTATATCGCAATGATTGTTCGCATGCAGCCTTAGAAATCGTTTCTTTCGTTTCTTTTTTTTTTTTTTTTTTACTAAAGAAGAAAATCATGTGTATATTTGTTTTCTTTTTTACGATATATATTTTTATCATGAAACCGTCTTGTTTGACTTTTCAAAAATTTACTTTCGTTAGTTTCAGGAAATAATGCATTCTCGTCGTCATCATCAGGTGCCTTGCCGACTGGTGTGGGTTATCGTGCCTCTCCACAATCTGCGATCTCCTGCAGCATGCATTAGTTCGTGTGCTGACATACTTCCATGCCATGCAACAAGACTGTCAAGAATCTTGCTCTTGTTGTCTTCCTCTATCCATCCTTCCACAGATTTTTCCAGTGGTCACAACATTTTCCATTGTCCCTCTTCTCATAACATGGCCAAAAAATGATGACTGTCTCCTTCTGATGTCTGTGATTAGTTGTCTTCGAGCTCCTGTCTCTGTCAAAATCTCTTGGTTGCTCTTTTTTTTGGCTGTCCAATTTATTTTGAGCATTATTTTGTAAAACCACATTTCTGAGGCCTCAAGAAATTGTTTGGCCTGCCTATCGATTGTCCAGGACTCACAGCCATATGTTAAAGTTTGATGTATATAGCAAGCAAGAATTCTTTTTCTAACCCTCAAAAACAAAGATATATTGCTTAAGATGTTCTTCATTTTATAAAATGCAGTTTTTGTCTATCCTATTCTGTTTCTTATCTCTGTAATTCATTTTCCATCTGATGTAATCCATGTGCCAAAATACTAAAATTTTTGTACTTGTCCCAAAATAACACCATTGAATTTTTTTACACATTAGGAATAATTTTTTTTCTTTGATACCACCATTACTTCTGTCTTCCCATTATTCAAACTGAGGCCCATTCTTCCACTTTGTACCACCACAATGTCTATCATTTCCTGTAGTTCTTTATTACTTGTTGCTATCAAGACTATGTCATCAGCATAACCACAATTCCAGGCACATTAATTAAAGATCTGTGCATCTGCCTGAGAGGCAAGGAAACAACAGTCTGCAGACAAATGAGTCGGGTCTGTCAAACATCATTCAAGCATCATTCAGGTTCTGCGGCAGGACTGAGGTCCAGAAGTGGATGAACAACCAGAACTTTGCACCAGAGTTTACAGCTGGCGAATGCAAAGAAGAAGAAGAATAAAAAATCTTATTATATATTCACTATTTGGTGAAAATAAATAAGGTGACAGTACACATCCATGTCGTACACACCTCTTTATGCTTTGAAATGTACCTAAACAGTTGTTAATTCTTGTAGCTGCTGTTTGCTGCCAATAAATATTCTTTATTATTCGTAGATCTTGTCCACCAATGTTTAATTTTTCTAAGTTTGATTACTTCTTCTTCATGCTTCACACAGTCGAATGCTTTTGTATAGTCTATGAAGCATAAGTACAAATCAGTCTTTACTTCTTTAGCTTTTTCTGACAATGTCCTTAGGATGTATATGGCATTGTTTGTACCTTTTCCTTCTACAAATCCACATTTATTCATCGCTGATTTCTGGTTTAAATTTGGTTCTTATTCTTCTCTAAATTATTCTCAGTAAAATCTTAGTCATGTGACTCATAAGACTAACTGTGCGATGGTCTTCACATTTCAAAGTGCCTGTTTTTTTGTTTTGTTTTTGGGCAGAGCTATAAATATGGATTTTAAAAGGTCATTTGGGATATATACCAACTATTATAAATATCATTTAAAAGTTTAGTTATTATTTCATTTCAAAAATCTCCCAGTGTTTCAGTTTCTTCCAGTGAGATGATGTCTGGTCCTGGTGCTTTTCCTTTTCCCACTATGAAACAAGCTATCAAAGAAAACCTAGGCAATGCCATGATTTTCTCGTGCTAGGTCGCACTTTTAGTGACTGGAAGCCAAAATAAGACTTCGGCCAAGGTTGTTTACTCAAAGGCGTCTCCAAAAATTAATGTTGAGTCATTGTGTCAATTAGCTAGCTTATAAAAGCTGACATAGACATCAACTTTAAAATGAATTTGAGAGGCAAATTTTTAACTATGCAGAAGGTTACCGTTTTACTGTACAAGCACTTGCTCAGAGAATGTCAGATGGTTCATTTATATTGTGATATTCATGACCCAGAGAAACAAACACGACTGGCACTTGGTCTGGATGGAGCATCATTTAACCGTTGGATTAGACAATATGTCAAGACAGGAAGAAAAAGAAAAGTTGACGACTTTGATGTAGATGTCATTAGACGTGAGATCTTGAAAATGTTAGAGACAAATCACAATGCATTATTGACATTTCACAAATTGTACGAGCCACCGGGTTCACTTTCAAGAGAACTGTAGGTGGAAGGAAAATTTTTTGTGAAAAGCGACATTTGATTGCTAGTTTAAGCAAATATCAGAGGCAGATTCGTGAGCGATGGAGGCAAAGCTATGATATTGTATATTTGGATGAATTCTGGGTTAATGCTCACCATATCTATGCTAAAGAACGGCAACCAATAAGCGGTGAACACAAAAAAAACATTCCTAACACCAAAGACCAGCGCATTATACTCACTTATGCAGGAAGCAATGGAAAAGGGCCTTATCTATGATGCCGGACCATAGTTAATCGACAGATTATACTCACTGCACACTGGAAAAGTCCATAAGCGCTCGGATCCCATCTTCAGTATGTAACGACACCAGTTCAGTGGGTTTATTATTATTCTTTAGCTACCTGTATAGTGTTCATGTCTGCAATACCTCTTTTGACCTGAAGTTCGTGTAGTCTTTTGAATGCTGCCGACTCCAGAATCCAACCCCCTTGAGATCATTGGCCCGATCCATTGCTTATCTTGTACTTACGGTGGCCCTGCCAGCAAGCCAATCCGCTCATTGTTTCCCACTTACTCTCGAGTGTCCTGGAACAAAAATAAAAACTGATTTCCGCCAAATGCGACTTCCGCCAATGTCTTTGAACCCATCCTGTCTCTATCTTCCTTGGCATGTTCATGGAATCAGAACGCACGCATGTGGAAAATGATGTGACCCAAACCTTGATCTCACTCGCTCGAACAAAATCCCCCCCCCCCCCCCCTGTCATGGCCACTACAAATATTTGAAACGTGTTCTGGCAACTTGGCCTTTTTGCTCACTCGCTTGCAATAGTAAGACATGCCTTTGTGTTCATCCGTTATGTGCCAGGTAATTTCACCATCTAAAAGTCTGGAATGGACTCCATTTTAAATCCACAGTTCATACTTCAATGCAAGCGCCAGAACAATTTTAGTGATTTGTCATTGCTCAACATAAAGAAGAAATCTACACACTTCTCACTTTTAGTCAGAGGCTCAAAACATGCAGTCTTATGCATGACTTTAAAAAAAAAAAAAGAAGAAGAATGTGGTCGGGCCCAGCAGTTCTGTATTTGTGTGCGTTGTTGTTGTTGACATATCAAGTAGTCAGTCGAATTTTTCTTGAAACTAAATCATACTACAGCAGACCTACTGTTTTTTTGTATACCTCCAATTTCTCCTTCTTCTTCGCGTTCACCAGCTGTACACTCTGGCGGAAAGTTCTGGTTGCTCGTCCACTACTGAACTGCAGTCCTGCTCTAGAACCTAAGTGCTGCGTGTGCATCAGTTTTACAGATCTCATTCTCTTGAATACAGACTGTTGGTTCCTTGCCTCTCCGGCAGATGCACTCCGACTTCAAAGGAAGCTCCCCAATTAGTCGACACTTACGACATGCTTTTGGGGAGGCAGTGGGTCTATTCTTGTTTTCCCTACAATGGAGCCCCGGGACCCACACGGGGGACCTCCAATTTGATATTTGAGAAGAGGCTCCAGGTGTGGCAAGATATCAGTGGTGGAAAATTACCACTGATAAACGAGTGCATAAATATAAAAACGATATACAGTGGAATGGAGACTCCATCCATCGTGTAGCAGGTTCTTTGCAGAACGTCCCTCTCATCAAAGTCTGCCTGAAAAAAACTCGGTCTCTTGCCAGTTCTCCCGCCTCATGTACTTTCATACTCAAGGAGTAACTTTATCCTGTGCCCATCTTCGTGTCGGTCCGCCCCTCCTTCCTGGTACCATGCCTTTCTGCTATGTTTCCAATCCGTCGTGTTGCTTGATATGACCAAAGTATTTCAGCTTCCGAGACAGGATGCTTTTTATTAGCTAATCTTCCTTGATGTACAGATCTTTCAAGATGTCAGTATTTCTCCTCTTCTTTGTCCAAGATATTTTGAGAATCTTTCTATAGCGTTTCAGCTCAAAAGCCCCTATTCTCTTTCTTAAGGACTGAGAGATAGTCCATGACTCACATCCGTATGTAGCCACAGGGAAGATGCATGCTCTCAAAATTCTAATTTTGATCTCCTTGCTGGTGCTTAATTATAGACTTTTAAAGCTGTTCAATCTTTGGATTGCTATGGCCATCCTCCT